ATTTTCAATCCTGTACATGGGACGGGGGTGGTGGAGAGTGGGTCAAGGGTAAGACTTCTTGACCTACTGAATTAATGTCAGCACATGCTACCGACTTTCCACGGGAGCTACAGGGGGGCTTCCAGGGAACACCCAGGGCCAGCACTAGCAGGCACAGCCGGGAGCCCGCCCTCCTGAGTGTCCATATTCCTCCCAAATGCTCCCCATGACATCCCTCTTCCTCTCCCCAGCGAGGTTAAGGTTCTGCTAGGTTCTGCGCGCTACTTGATCCACCCTGCTCCCCTCCCTTCATCTGCCCCTGGTTCCACGATTTACAGTGATACATTTTATCTTATAACACATTGGGTATTTTAGTCAGTATTTAAACAACAACTTTGTCGCTGTTCTATTATTTCTAGTAACTCTGGTAACAAAGTTTCTGACAAATAAAAAGTGTATCATGTAAACATACAAACCAACCACTAACAAATAATTTACAGACCTTTCCTGTAAAGGGAACTAACACCAGGGATCAACTTCAAATAAACCTTGCTGAAAAACCTACAGCATAAAAAGAAATTAAAGCAAAAAGAGGAGGACAGTGAAGGAAGGAAAGGAGGAACGCTGGAGGGAGCCCAGAGTACAGAGTGTGGACAGTTGGCTCCCACAAGGGCACCAGATGTCATTCAGTGGCACCTGTGCCACCTTTTGTAACAGGATTTGCCCTGTTTGACTGGTATTCCCCATGGCTATGATTATTCCACTTTCTCACCTCCAAAAACAATTTTGATGATGTTGTCCTTGTTTGGTCCTTCAATACCTCCCCGCCGCCTGCTTTTCCAACTCTAACATGTTAACTTCCACATTTCTCTTCTTTCAAATGCTGTTCTATTAAAGCACAATATTACACCTCCCCTACTATCACACCTGTGGCCTATCCTCACCCTTCTCCCACCCTTGTCAAATGAACTATTTCAGTACACCTTTTTCTTTTACTCAACAGTGGTGTGTCTGTCTTTAAATATCTTTCCACTCTGTCATAACTCGAAAGAGAAAAGACTAAATTTTTTTCAAGTTGGGTAATACATTTTCAATGCCAGTCTAGAACCCCCACACTAACACCATTTCTTATTTGTCCCACCTGGGCCAGTTCACCCCTCCGTAGGCAACCTGGTGGCACCTCGCTCCCGGAAGTCACCATACCGATGCCTCACTTAGTGGGGACACCAGATCAGCAGGGCACAAGGGATCCTTCTGCCTCTGCCTCCGAGCAGCCTGGACTACAGGTGCACCCAGCCCATTTCTCATTTTTATAAAATGCAGAAACTACTCTCAGCTTGCTCATTTGAACAGGAGTCTCGTCAGTCTGCTATTTCAAAAAAAAAAAAAAAAAAAGACATGTCCCTCCTAACAACATTGACGACGATGACAAAGTCTCATCACTTTTCCTGCCCAGATCACCACCTTTTTTCCCACACAGAGAACAGGTTTTTTTCCTACCTGCTGTCTCAACTCTATTAGAGAATAGGCTAATTCAGTCCACTTGATGTTGAATTCCTTTAGTCTTACTGATGCTTCCTACCTCATCTCCTCGTTCTTACTCTTTGGAAACTACCATCCTGCTCCTGGTTTGTCACCACCCCACCATTTAACATCGGACACCCCCGCTCACCCTAACAAATTAATTCAGCTGAGACACAACTAATTTTCAGCCACACGAGGGAAGATCTGCAGCTCTGCAGTTTAAAAACTGCCCAGTCATGGTCTTCCACAGACAAAAGGTAGGCAAGAAAACTCTTCCTAAAGTCAAGGTCACAAAGAGTAACTGCCCCACCTCCAACTACACTCATTCGGCGACACCCAGCATCCTCCCCAAGTTGTCTGTAAAAACCAACAGTTCCTTTTTCATCAAAGAAAAGAAAGTGAACATAATGCTTCCCTGAAGACATTCTCTAGTCTCCCCACACCAGACTTTAAATAGAATGATTACCTTAAAAGGAAGAGGGGAAATTTGGGCTGGTGGAAGCCTTTCTTTATTAGAAAGGCTTGTCCCAGAGTACTACTAGCCCTAAGACTTGCTTTATTTAGTTAGGACAGATGTGCAAGATCCACAAAAAGCTGGCTCCCAGGAATCTCTAAGGGACTCCCAGAACTTATGCCTGTTCCACTTTACCTGGAAAATACAGGTTATTCAAACAGTGTGTTCATTCTTATTCTCTCATCTTCTACAAACGAAATTCACCTCCAGCTATCTATCATCAATTCCACAACTTAAGGATAAATCTTCTGGACCAAATCTTCTAGATATATCTTACAAAATGTAAGATACATTAACACAGCCTCTCAAAGCCAACTAACCTTCCCATTAAAATCCCCACCACTCTCCCAATGTGCTTTTTATCACCTTTCTAGTGCCACTGCCTCCACCTTATTTCTGGCCTTAACTGCCCATTATGCTACACAAGTTCATCTTCCCAACACATAGCTATGAAAATGTGAATTCCCTTTTAAACAAATCATCTCAGGTTCTCTGTTGTCCGTTTTAACTATAAACTACAGATCAGGACATTCAAGGCCCTCTCAAATATGGGCATCTTATCAAACGGGCTTTCCCCTGTCACCCTATCATGCTTCTTCCCAGTACTTGTCACTGCCCGATAAACACACTCATTTGTTCGTTTTGCTCACCACGATATCCTCCGTGCCTACAATATAGTACACTCTCAATACGTATCTGTGGAAATAACAGATGAACCTGGACGTGCTGTACGATACAGCTGATGCGGACTTAGAAGACCTACATCTGAGTTACACAGTTTCCACATACCAGCTGTGTGATCCTCAACAATGTTAACATCTTTGGGCTATATTTCCTCATCTGTAAAAGGAAGGGATGAAACTTAGTAACTTACAAGACCATTTCTTCCAGCTGTATCACCCTGTTGCAGTCATCCCCAACCTTTCTGGCACCAGGGACCCGTTTCATGGAAGACAATTTTTCCACAGACCAGGGTAGGGCGGGTGGCTTTGGGATGATTTCAGCACATTCCATTCAAGTTCACCTCCAGCTGTGCTGTCAGGTTCCTAACAGGCCCAGACCAGTACTGGCCCGCAACCGGAGGTCGGGGACCCCTGCCCTAAAGTCTTGTGTAACTGGACCGAACACCACCCTGGCCCCCCACCTCCCTGTCTACACCACTCTTCTCAGTTCTCTTCCACTTGGACTCCTCTCTTCTCAATCCATACCTTTAGTACTGGATACAAAATATGGGATACGTAATATTGGATAAACAATCCAATACTGTTGATCCTTTAGGGCCATTTTAAGTGCCATTTTCTCCTTGAAGCCTAACAAACTAAACTCTGTAAGAGGGTGGAGCTCTTACTTTCTATTCTCTGCAGCTGGTACAATGCCTCCTATAAAGCTGATCAACAGAATGACTAATGAATCATGAGTGTATACATGAGTAAATGAACAAAGGATGCTTTTCCTGATTCCCCGCAATTGCTCAGGTAATCTGCCTTTGGACTTTTGTAACACTTGGCATCTTTTATGATACCATTTTCACTCTGTGCTGTTATTTATTTACTTGCCTAATGTATATTACATTAAACTGCAGATTCCTTAAAATTAAGGACTATCCCGATGATCCGTTTCCACAGCCACCCTGTACAGCATCCACCACGGATCTTTGCCACAGGTGAATTAAGTTTATCTGACATACTAACAATAAGCAGATATCAGAGTAGAAGAAAAGGACCTTAATTTATAGATATACTTCCAACTACCCTATAATCACGTGGCACACATGTTGTGTGGATCCCTGCCCCTGTTAAACTCAGGCATTCTGCTGTCCTCAATACTTTCACTTCACTAAACAACTAAAGTGACTTTTCTGCTCATTTCAGGCTTCTACCCCGCACAATTTCCTCCTCCGCAAGGTATGAAACTACTTTTAAAAAACATCTTCCCATATGCCTGCCTTTCTTAGTTCTGCTCCTGAAAGGCAAAGTGAGCCACTTTAAGGTCTGCCTCCCCCGTTTCTATGCAGAAGCAACTCCCCAGTTATCTCAGGTTCTAACGACCTCATTTTTTCTCTGTCATCAAGATCTGGACCTTTATTACCTCTAACTCCAAGTTCCTTGGAACCTTCCTGGCTGCACAATAGTTGGTGTCTTTCCATTTAATATGCTCTCGCCATTCTATACTTGCTTCCAATGTGTCTGCATCGCCCCCCTCCAGACACATCCCATACTCGCAGACTGTATCCACACCACATACAAGTTCTTTACACCACTCTTAAAAGAGTGGTAACTCCAACTACACTGATTCTAACCCAGTTTCTTCTGGGGAACCCAACCCCGTCCATTGTACACCTCTCTCTTTCCTCACTTCCTCATCCATTCCCCCTGTTCACGTCCCCACCCCCCACTCCGCCAACTAACTACAGATGGCATTATTACCTAGTACTTCCAATCCTAGAATGAAGAACAAACTCCAGTCCCCCGCGGTTTCTCCCTCCTCCAGCCCTCCCTCCCCCCAGCCCCCCACACACCCCAGGTGTGCAGACTTCCACCCCGTCTTCCGATCACGCATCGTTCCAGCCAATCCCACACCACACCACGTTTCCCCCACCACCAGGACCAGACTCCTCCACACCCACTTCCAGCCGGGGTCGCCATCGCCTCCCAGGGCGCCTGCCCCCACCCCTCAGCTGCTAGCCCGCGACCCCGAGCGCGCGCGCGCGCACACATTCTCACGCTTCCCTAACCTCTCTCCCCGAGCCGAGAGTCGCCGGCTTCGCTGGAGCTCAGCCCGGCCCGCGGGGGGCTCAACACCCCGGTATGTGCCCGTTCCGCCCCCTCCCGCGTGTCCCCTCGCAGCCCCCGCCTCCCTGCCGGGCAAGGAGAGGACCCAGCAACTCCCTCGCCACCCCGGATATACCACCTCTGTGTCGGTAGCTCCATGCCCGAGCCCTCGGCCAGCTCCCCCTTCGTACGAGGCCGGCCTCGGCACTCACCGGAGATACTGCGCGCTCTGCAGGCTCATCCTCCGCCGCCGCGTCTTCCCGCGAAGCCTCTGTGGGTTTCTCAGGCTCCTCGGAGCGGCCCAGCGGCACCGCGGGTGCTGGCGGCCGCCGCCATCTTCCTCTCCTCCAGCTCCTCCTCGCTCGGCGGGGGGGGTGGGGGTGAGTGAGACGGAGGGGAGGGACCGGGGAAACTGCTCTCGCTACTGCTCCGGCCCTTGGGGCGCAGGGACACTCCGACCCGGGAGGAGGGAGGGGGAGGGAAGAGGGAAGGGGGCGGGGGAAAGAGGAGGGAGAAGCAGAGGAAGGAAGTAGGGGGTCCCTCTCGCGAGACTTCAGTGGTGCCGGCCCCTCCGGGTGGTTTTCGGCTCGGTGGAGCTCCCTCTCGGGATCAGCTACCTGGGTGGCGACTGTGTGGTTGCTGAGTAGCCCGCTGGTGGCGCTTGGAGGCTTCTGGCCAACCCACCCCTCTCCCCTGCGCGAGGGGGCAACCCCAGCTTCACCGGGAACATCGAGCCCAAATCTACTGGGAGTTACACTCAAAGTCTTCCCCCGTCCTTCCCTCCACCCGACTGCTCTCTTCCCTTTTCCTTTCCTCCACTATTCCCTGCCGGAAACGGCGCCCCTTCCTCCTACAGTTCCGCCCGCCAGTCCCTTGACTCCGGTCTTCCCTCGCGCCCCGGAGTGACGCTGAGGACCCCCACCTCTTTTCTATGGTTCCTCCCCCTGCACTCAGGGAGACCGTTGGAGGGGATGAGGTGGAGCCCACGGAGGAAGAGAAAGGAATCCAACTGGATTGGATAAGCAGCTGACATGGCAACTGGAAGCTGTAGTATTGTCATAGTAACCAATGTGTGCCTACCGGGTGACCCTCCCCTGGCGAATAGATATTCGGGAAGGTGCCCAGGGTTTTCCCTTGGCTTCCCTTAACGTCTAAAGTCCTCCCCCAGTTTGGGAATCCGGGTAGTTCTCCCCGGCTGTGAAGTTCATTTCCTCCTCCCTCTCCCCTGCCCCCAGCTTTGGGGGACACCCCCAGGCATTCACCGTGGGCTTTTCCACCCGCCCAAGGGCGGGAACCACCTGCATAGTTTCCTCTCAGCCGGACGTGGAAAGGGCCGGGCCTGCGAAGGAGACGCAAGGCCCGAAGGCTGGCAGGCTGCGGGCTGGAGCAGGGAGAGCGAGGAGGCGCGGCTGGGCTGCGTGGCGGACGAGGGGTTTTCCCACAGCAGCCTCGAGCTCGGGGAGGCGGGATCCCGGCAAGACGGGGTCCCTGAGGGAGGAGAACGGCACACGACAGCCTCGATCCCTCTCCTGCCGGCGGGAACCTCCTACTTTTCCGAGTGGGTCGGAGGATTCCTTATAGGAATCTCCCAGACCCCACCCCACACCCACCCTCCGCGACCGAGCCTCCTCGGAGTTCCCCCGCGGCCTTCCCAAGCCACGCCACCTGCCGCAAGGAGGCTGGAGTGGGAGAAGGGGGCGCATCCTATAAGCCTAACAAGTAGGTTTGTATCATTTAGAGCCAAGGAGGTGGCGAGACGCTGACGATTGCCATCCCTCTCATAAGTACCTCAAATGGGGCCCCCCCTTAATTATCCAAAGCAGACCGAGTTCCTCCCTCCTTCGCAAACGTCTTCCTTCTCTGATGGGTCTGCAGTGTCTCAGAACTTGTCACTCTGTGTCCTTTGGGTTAGAGAGGAAAGGGTTGGGTAAAATAGGACTTAAAAAAAAAAAAAAAGCCTAGTTACTATCGCGAAGCTCCGATGGAAGAGGGGTCTAGAAAAAAATGTTCATTACAACAAATCTTGTTGCTTGTTTATTATATCTATTTTGTGTCAGGTTTAGGGCTAAAAGCAGAAGTAAAGAATGGAGTCAATAGTAATGTGGAGCGAGTGAGAAGTAGCTGGTGAAGTAGTCGTCTTAATGGTTTGAACGAATTATTTGACATGTGTTTTCGATTCGTACTGTGGAGTCGTTTAAGCAGCTCTCCCAAAGGACTTTGGGTTGTGTAACGGCGTAAAACCCTCCAAAAATGGAGTCCTCACTGGATAGTTAAAATCAGGATTTTAGTGGGCTAATTTTGCTCAGCTGAATTTGGGTACCTGATTCCTGCCATTTTTTATGCTAGGTGAAGAGGCACTTTCAGGATCCTTCCCTGAGCCGGGACCTATTAAATGACTGGACCAATATCTGTTTTGGAACTCTTGAGTAAGTTTGGAGGAAATGAAGGTACAGGCTGCTTTGAAATAAATGCCAAAGACAGATTATGGTTGACAAAACAAACTGGACTGCGCCCCACCTACCGCACGCACGCCTCCTGTGATGCGGTGTGACGGCGATCGCAGCTGTACAATGGCCCTGTCATCCCTGACTGCACCGTGTGCCGCCCACTCCTGGGAAAGAGAGCCACCTAGTGAGAGACGGTTCTCATCTCTGGTTCGTCAGTCCGCAGAGCCCCAGAGTGGAAGTTACTGCTACATACTACCTAAAACATCCTACATTTCTCTCCTGACATTTATTGGTTAGATTTTTTTAAAGATGTTAGTCAGAATAAAACTTTTGTTATGTAAAATAATGACCCCCTGACTAATCATCATAATAACTTATTTGCCCGTGGCCCTTATCTCTAGTAAACCACACAGGAGCATACATCGTGACACCCCTGATAAGCAATCTAGACCAAGGTTAGTGTCTTCTCATTTTGAAAATAAAGGAACTTGGGCCAAAAAGGTGAACCCCGCCCTGGCCGTGTGGATCAGTGGCTTGAGCATCAGCCTTTGAACCAAAAGGTCACCTGTTGTATTCCTGGCCAGGGCTGTGGGGAGGGTGCAAGAGGATCGACGTTTCTCTCCCTCCCTTCCCCTCTCTCTAAAAATAAATAAAATCTTTTGTTTTAAAAGAGATGAATCCTTTTGTTGTGTCGTTTATTCAATAAATTTACTGAGCACTTGTTATTTCAGGCTCTGTCTAGGTTACTATGGATACCGCAGTAAAAAAGACATGGTCCCAGGCTTGGAGGAACCCACCTGCTGGAAGAGGTACCAGAGAGAAGACAAGGATGCAGTGTGATGCATGTGATAATTAAGGTAAGAACAAAGTAATTTAGATACACAGACGAGGGTCAGGAATATAAACAATTTTTGTATTTTATAGCGGCCTTCCTAACAATTTTCTAAAGAGTCTCCAATAACTTTACAATGTTCTTACAAACTAGAAAAAATAGTAATTTTTACATTTTACAGATTAGAAGACATTGATGCCCATCTTGACAATAACTTAAAAATCAGTAGGACTCAGCCCTGGCTACTGTGGCTCAGTGGACTGAGTGCTGGCCTGCAGACCAAAGGGTCGCCAGTTCTATTTCTAGTTAGGGCACATGCCTGGGTTGCAGGTCAGGTCCCCAGTAAGGGGCGCACAAGACTCAACCACACATCTTTGTATCTCTCCCTCTCTTCCTCCTTCCCTTCTCTAAATAACTAAAATCTTTTTAAAAATTAAATCTATTAAAACATTTTTTAAAAAATAAGACTCAGAAAAAATCAGGACCCAGCATTTACATGTTGCCTAATGTACATTCCTCAATCTCATGTCTTCCTCCTGCCCCTCCCCATCAACAGATTTGTAGAAGATAAACATCTTCCTGTAATAGATTTTACTTACTTTTTTCCCCTGCAGATACCTAAACCAAAATAAATTAAATAGGAGAAACTGTCTTATTTCATTTACAACAACCTGATTTCAAGTTTTCTGTTTGTGCCTAAGTGATTTATGGAAAGATCACAGGCCAGCAAAGCCTGAGTGTGTGCCAGCTCGGCATCTCCGTCTCTGAATTTCAGGTTCTTCCTTGACCAAACTGGAAACATTACTGTGACAGGCGTCCTGTGCACTTCAAGGACGGTACATGCGACAGAGTATATGAGTGCCTGACATACTGCACTGCCACTTGATAAACCCTAATTTTTTTTTTTTTGCACTCTTGCTCTTTAACATCCAGGAAAAAGGAATAACTGAGAAGTACTGAAGGATAACATTATTCTTTTTTTATTTTTATTTATTTTTAGAGAGAGAGAGGAAGGGAGGGAGAAAGGGAGAGAAACATCAATGTGTGGTTGCCTCTCATGTGGCCCCTACTGGGGACCTGGCCTGCATCCCGGGCATGTGCCCTGACTGGGAATCCAACCAGTGACCCTTTGGTTTACAGCCCACGCTCAATCCACTGAGTACACCAGCCAGGGCAACATTATTCTTAAAATAATAATTTGTCTAATAATTTGTCTAATTATTTGTCTAATTTGTCTTTGTCCCTAACACTCGTAGGTCTGACCAGGCACCCAAATCTGTTCTCATGCCAGAATGTAGACTTCTTTATCCACAACTCTGATTACAGAAAAGAATACAATATCAGGACATCGAGCAGCAGATTCTAGAGGGATGAAATTTAACACACCTTTTCTCACAAAAAGCCTCATGGAACCACATTTGGGCCCAAGTAAACATGGAGGGCAGCTTTCAGTCAGACACCAAGTGCTTGCTGAGAAGCTGCTCTTCACATTCCTGCCCAATTTACCCTGAGCTTTCACAACCTGACAATTAACACGTAGAGCTAGCCTCCTCCCTTTTCATAATAATAGACATCTTTCCTGCTCCACAAAAACCTTAACAAGCAGTCATTAATTTTGATATTTAGCCTACATATTCTGAATGTTTTCAACTCATGTATACAATTAGGTACTTAATAAATGTGTTTCTATTTTGAGAAGGGTGATTGATCAATTGCAGTAGTCAAGGACACCATGCACATGAGGCTGGCCTGCGCTCTGGGTGACCACACCTTAGACCACGGAGCTACGTGATTCAATCAAAGGAGTGATTTATTCTCTTTGAAAAGTGAGTTAGATACACACGGACATTTAAACCCAGGTCTCCTGTAGCTTGTGATTTCCCAGGCCAAGGATCTGCAGCCTTTCTCCAACAGTTTGCTAAGTGTATGTTTATTCATTTGCTCCTAAGACGGAGTCCCTGAGCCCAAAGAACAGTCAGGAAGCGTTGCAGTCCACGACCCAAGAGAAGAAACTTCTATTTGGGCTGGTAGCGAGGTTGGAGAATGGGATTCAGGGCTCTTTCTCCTTCTATGGTTTTCCTAATATTTATTAAGGGAGACATTCTTAATCCTCAAGAATTTTCCCCAAGTCTCCATAAGAAAATTTCTCTGGGAAAGAACCACACCTTAAAATCATACGTGCTAATTGAGCGGATACCGACCATCTAGAGAGGTGAAGAAGAAACGCTCCTAGGGAAGAATGAAGAATATTAAAAAAGAAAATTAAAACCTTAGTCTTTTATGCTCTATATTATCCAAGGGCCTTAGTGTTCATGGTTCTCTTTACTACTCCAGTATTACCAAAGCCATCTTGGGGGTCACTAGTCAAAAACTAGTATATTTCATGTCAAAATCTGTTGCATAAGTCAGAAGCTCTATTTTTTTTTTTTTGCTTAAAATACCTAACTAAAAGGAAGAAAATCTTTTACTATGTTGTAGTTTTCAGTTTCCTAATTTCTGTAGGTTAGACTACTATTTTTGAGCACCGAGAATGTGATAGTGACATTCATTGTTACAAATCTGCTCTTCTCCAAAACCACGAGAAACCACATGTGTACAAACACACATACAGCTTCCTCTTCTCCCTGCCCTTATTATTTTATCACCTCCATTTGCAATTCAAGTTAAAACATAATAGGCCAAGAGACATAGGCCGTATATTCATCACCCAAGGCATGCTAGGGATACGTACCAAGAACTATTCTGCTTTGCTTAACTACCCTAGGCTCTTTTCACTTCTCAGAAGAATTCAACACATCAGAAATCTAGATAGTTTTGCCATATATATAAATAAAATTCTTTCTATCATTGGATTACTAGATATTAGAGCACATTCCAGAACAAATTCAATATTAAGCTTTTTAGAAACTTTATTTTTTTTATTTTCTAGCTTGACTTTTTCCATTTGCTTTCCATTGCCCTTAACATGCAGTTTCCGATCCTTTGGATGACCTTTGTGATCTGGTCCTTGCCTGCCTCTTTCTCTGGCATTTCCTGGTGTCACCGCTGTAAGCCACAATGACCTTCTCTTAGTCCCTTGAATAGGCAGTGTTCCTTTGCTTTTAGAGCCTTTACTCAAGCTGTTCCCTTATCTAGATAACTTCTCCCTAGACCACTCATCCTTTCTTATGCTTCAAGACTAAACTTGAACTCCTCTGGGGAAAAAACCTTCTCTCCTCGCCTCCCCCAATCAAGCTAGGCCAGCTACACCTATTACACGTTCCCATAGCAGCCTGCCCTTCTCCTTCATAGTATTTTTTGTATTTGTCATTCTTTGTTCAATGTCTTTTGCCTCGAGTTGGCTGGAAGCTCTTTAAAGGCCAACACTGCACCGTTTGGCTCATTCATGTACCTGGCAGACACCTGGTACAAAGGTGCTCAGTAAATTTTTGTGGATTCAATTAATCTTAGAAAAAAAAAAAACAAATAGGAATTTGTGCATGACTTGCATATAAGTGTGTTAAATGGCTGACCATCTTACTATAGAATATAGAAGTAACCCCTAAGAAATAAGGAGATCATTTTCCTGGACCTTCAACCCATGTGAAGATTGAAACCTGCTGTTGAAAGTTTCAATGAAATGAAACTTAATTAGGCAATGAGTAAAGAGCATACTTGCAAGATTGTGGACAACTCATCAATCATCTCGCAGCAAAGTCACCACATACTTCAACACAGAAGAAAAGTCTTCCGTGTCCAAATCCTTTCTATTTAACTTTTATGCTTTTTTAATTGGGGAGTAGGGGGAGCAGTTAATCCTTTTATTATGTGGTAAGAAGAAAAACACACTGTTGGGGAAAATGAAAAGAGGGAGGAGAGGCTACCAGCTCATTGGAAAATAGAGTAGAAAAGTTCAATTGAAAAGTTCAGAAAGAAAATTGGATCAGAGCAGAGAATGGAAAGCTCAGTCATCTTCGTATTTGCCACCAGAAAGGTGTTAGTAAATTCTGGAGTTACTCTTTGCCTCCTGTAATTGGGTAGGGCTAAATAAATTCAATGTAAGTTTCTTTTTTTAAAGATTTTATTTATTTATCTTTAGAGGGGAAGGGAAGGAGTGAGGGAGAGAAATATCAATGTGTGGTTGCCTCTCATGCATCCCCTACTGGGAACTGGCCTGCAACCCGGGCATGTGTCCTGACTGGGAATCACACTGCGGTTGTTTGGCTCACAGGCCCACACTCAGTCCACTGAGCCACACCAACCAGGGCTGAATACAAGTTTCTTAAGGAAAGGGTCGTGTGCAATTTCCAAGCCAGTGAGACACTTATGTTTCCAGAGGCAAGTTCTGCAAGTTCAGTTAGATAATGTACATAATATACTTAGCAGTAACTCAACTGGTGGTGCTGCTCTTAATATGCATATAGAGTGAATCAGAGCTTCACACACTCAACTTCACACTGTAATTAATATTAGACTTAAAAAAAACATAAAATGTTGTAGAATTGCATTTGTCAAGAGAGCAGTACACACACTGCCTCAGAACCCTATGACCTGTTGTGTCTTGACCAAGTATAAATTGCCAGGAAAGTAAAGAACTTCCGTCTACTTACAGAGGCTGTCTCGGCTCATTATCAAGTTTATGTTTGAAGGAGATGAGATCCAAGATCAGTCAAAGCTGAAGAGGATGAAGAGGCTCGTGAGGAGCAAATCCAGCTGCTGCGCTTTCCTCTGTTCTCTTTCAAAATGACGTCTCTGGAATCATTCTCTGGCAAGTGATTCTCTCTCTTCCTCAGCTTTTCATTATTGTCCCCCAAGTGATCCAGTCGTTTGACCAACAGGACCTGCATGGTTCTACTTCTTTAACAACGTCCCTGTAGTGAGGCCAAGCCAATAAGGACATGCCAGACCCGGGAACGCCCCCATTTCCAAAATATGTACAGCAGTGGCCTAGACATCACAAAGGTTATTAAGTGCAGAAGTTGAAATTAATTTTCTGTGAGACAGCCAAATTTAAGCATGAACACCCAGTAGGAATCTTTTTTTAAATATATTTTATTGATTATGCTACAGTTGTCCTATTTTCCCCTTTTATTCCCCTCCACCCTGCACACCTCCCATCCACATCCTCCCTCCCACTTTTAGTTCATATCCATGGGTCATACGTATAAGTTCTTAGGCTTCTATATTTCCCATACTATTCTTAACCTCCCCGTCTATTTTCTACCTACCGTCTATGCTACTTATTATCTGTACCTTCTCCCCCTCCCTTCCCCTCCCCTGTTGACAACCCTCCATGTGATCTCCATTTCTGTGGTTCTGTTCCTGATCGATTCCTATTCTTCTCTGCTCTTTCAAGTCAAATTTAAATCTAAACCAATACTTTATTTTGGAAGTTTAATCTGGATGTATCCTGATACTGAAAAGAAAGCTTAATGAGTTATGGATCCTCTAAATTTTCAGTATTTACCTTTCCCTTCATTCATTCAATCTTCAAAAATATATTGAGAATTTCTTATGTAAAGCAGGGGTGTCAAACTCATTTTCACTGGGGGCCACATCATCCTCATGGTTGCCTCCTAAGGGCCAAATGTAATTTCAGAACTATACAAATGTAACTACTCCTTAACAGTTAAGCGAGAGCTCAGCACTGCCACCGGGTAGAAACAAGGTGCCGGGCTGGATAAAACAAGGTGGAGGGCTGGATTCAGCCCACAGGCCTTGTGTTTGCTACCTGTGGTGTAAAGGGTCATAGGCTGGTACTGGGGTGCTAATGGTATACACAGTCTTGTTGTCGAATTTAAAGTTTGGGGAGAATCAAGTGAATAGGGCAGTTACAGAGAGATAAATCTGTGGTAGAGTTCTCTGGAGCCATTCCACCCCAAGATCCCAGAGCAAACATGCAATCAGATGATCCACTTACATGTCTCAATTAACTACAAACCCTTCAAAAGGAGACTTCGCAGAGTTTATGTTTCCAAATTCTACTTCCCAGCAGGAAGAGAAGTCCGAACAGTGCAACTGGCCGGAGAAGCAACAGAAAACCATGATCAATAGCATTCTAGAGTAACATATGCTTGAGAGATACAAAACTGTATGCATAAAATATGACTATGGAATAAAATTGCGTAGGAAGTGGTCAAAATACAATATTAATACTTATTTTTGTGAGGCCAGCTATTTACGGGTGGCTTTTATTTATTTATTTGTTTATATTTTTCAATCTCTCCCACCAACCAAAAACTAAAATAGATTTCTTGTTGTTGTTGCTGTTGTAGTTAGGAGTTGGTTTGTTACTGTATTCAGAGAATGCTGAACTACCTGCCACATCACCAGAGCCTGAAAGTAGCATTGGCAATGGGAAAGGAGGTGGATTAAAGATCAGCCTAACAGCTTTGTACATGCTGGTGATTGAAAAACCAGATCTTGTAGACAGTTCTGAAGGCATTTCCCAGTACTGTCAGGTATTGATACCTTTGCACAAACAAAAACTGATGAAGGCAATCACCTCTGAATACACTGTTACTGTCTTTGGTCATTTTGGGTCTAGTGGGAACTACCACAGCCTGAGAAAGATCAAATGCTGTGGATGGGATTCATTAAAAAAAAAATCATTTTAAGAAATAAAAATCTAAAATGAAACCTATACTTAACCTTTTTGTCTTCTCTTACATTTATAATTCTCCTCTTTCTTCAATTTTAGGTCACTGTCCCTGGTCCCTCCCAGTTGTATAACCATGTGCATTTTCCTCCTTTCTCTGCAATGTAACCAGTCAAGAATTTTTTTTATGGGTGAGGAAGAAGGAGAGAAGCAGGAAAATTGAATTGAGAAGAAAGCAAGAGTGGGGAAAAGAAAAGATAAAAGGACACCATGAAGTCTGGAGGAAGAGAAAAAAGAGACGGAGGAGCAAAGAAACCCACTGTCTGGGGCAGGAATAGTTGTCTGGCACCGATCTGTTTGGACCTCCTTTCTTTGAGAGATAAGAGGAAAAGACTAGATCCGCATTCTGTCTTAAAAACAAGAAAGGGGACTTAAAAACAAGAATTGGTGACCTCTGAAAGGTGCTTCCAGACTCAGCAATCTCTGTCTTCTGAAGGTACACCCTAGATCTTGCTTCCTGTGATAGTTGGCGATCATTCCATGTAACAATCCAGTTCAAAGAGGCTGGTATGTAGCATGAGAAACTCCGTATTGCCGTTTTAAAGACTGGTCTTCAAAACAAAATGAATTGCCCTGGACTTGTTGATTGAAAAATTATCCTATAACCAAAAGATCGCTGGTTTGATTCCAGGTCAGGGCATGTGCCAAGGTTGTGGAGTTGATCCCCTGTTGAGGCCTGTACAGGAGGCAGCTGCCTGGAGTGTTTCACATCTCTCTCTTTTTCTCTTCCCTTCTCTAGAATGAGAATAAAATAAACCTTAAAAAAATGTATCATTTGAATTTCACCTATGGGTACAAAGTGTAATGTCAGCTGACCCCCATTTTGGTAAAAGTGAAAACATCATTTAAAACAAGACAATACAAAACAGTACAGTCCAGACAGCTGCAGGGAACTTTTTGGCCAACCCAAAACTATATACAAGGTCTGCCCAGAGGTATCCAGCTATGTCATGTGAAAAATAGACATTTATTGAAAAAGATACAAGAAACATAGTACAGAGGACAATGATGCCTCAGTCCCCTTCAAAGTCCACACCTTGAGACCTCAAATCCAGTCGCCATCTGCCGCCCTGTTGTATTTTCCTGAATCTCATGGACAGTCTGCAGTCTCTTCCCTTTCAAAGGTGATTTTGGTTTTGAGAAAAGCCAGAAATCACAGAGCACCAAATCTGGGCTGTAGGGGGGCTGAGTCACCTGGGTGATTTGATGTTTTGCAAAAAAAAAAAAAAACTCTGCACAAAATGTGATACATGAGCAGGCATGTTGTCATGATGAAGCTGCCAGTCACCGGTTTCCCATGACTATGGCCTTCTGAATCATCCAAATAGTTTCTGCAGAAGAATGTTCAAACTTAATGCAAAATTTGATGCAGATTTGTTTGCTCTACTCGCTCGCTCATTTCGAATGCACCACAGTACACTGTCTACCGCCCCTGCTGACTAGTACAGTGAAGTCATCGTTGTTCATGCATGTGTATTCCAGTCCACTGTCCTTGGCTGCCAGGCTACAGCGATGTCATGCAAACCATTCTCGGTTTATTAACAATGGGTAAACTTTTTCCAAACAAACCTTGTTGTATACTCTGAAGAAGATCCTCTTTTACTCTTCAGGTGATCTTGAGATCATCAAGAACATTCTAACTAAATCTAATGATCTCTTACAAGTGTTTATTCTTTCAAACGTTATGTTCCATTGGGTAATACCAAGACTATTTTTATCTTTAATCCAGTAACATTTAATTTTATTTTTTTTATTCTACTGCCTTAACTTCATCTTTAATTCATTATTTTGCTTTGGCGGTAGAGATAGTTAATAAATGCCAGGCTATAAAAATTCCTTAAATGGAAATATGATGACAGGACTGGTCACATACCTGGTCCCTCCCAGGTACAGGGAGGAAATGGAAGAAATCAAAGAGATGCACCCCCCCCACCATGTTTCTGTTTGGAAAACTAGATGAAAATGAAACCAGAAAAGTCAGCATTTGTGCTGCCTGTCACTACCAGAACCAGTATGTAGAGGCAAGGATTGAATTTTTATGGGTGCTTTATTTAGATGCTGGCAATCTGGGAAGACAGCATGTTACATACCCTAAAAATCATCTTAACATTTAACCTCAAGCTGACCTTCTTATAAGTAGAAGAAAAGGGTAGGTAAGAGGTTCAGAGAAAAGTTAGATAAGAGTTGTAATCCAGGCAGTGATTTTCCTAGTATTTTTTCATCTATAGTTAATATATTTCTGATCAACAATTCTTTATCTGTGTCACTGACATTCCCTCCCTGGAACACAATGGCTCAGATACCATCTGCATTGTTTTCCGACACCCTGGGGCACAAAGGTTGACTTGTTTGTTGAACTTCTGAAGTCATGTAGGTCATGTATTCCAGTTCCTGGAATAACAGCTTTCCACATGCATTAATTGCTTAAGCCTATTAACTATAACTAAAGCTAAAATCTTTAACTCCTGAGTTCCCCTATCAGAAATAGAATATACAGGAGGAGGAACCATTTGCAGAGATGTGTGAATGTGGAGATAGTAAATTTTGGGGGGACACGTTGAACTGCAATTGTCTGGAATTGAGGGGTCTCGAGTACCTGGAGAGCTTGAGAGAAATCTGAGTTTGAGTTGCAGATTCAGGAGTCAGCAGCATGTAGATAGTAATTAAAGACACTTGAGTGGCTTCAGACAGCTTGCCTATAAAATGAGAGAACTAGGAGAGCTTTTATCTTATAAGGAAGTGAGAGACATCACCAGGAAATGATCTAGGAGACAAAAATGATATTCTCTCTTTCTGAAGCCACACATTAAATGCATTCTTGTGTCCTATGTATTGCAATAAAAAAAACAACACTAAAAAACATAACAGTGGCATGAAACAAGAAACCATTTCATTAGGCTCACAGATTCTGTATGATAGGAATTTGGATAGGTACTTCAGAGAGAGCTCAATTCTGCCTCATGATGTACAGAGTACTGCATGAGAAGACTTTGACAGCTGTTGGTCACCTGAGTGAATGGGTTTCTTTTCACTCACCTGTCTAGGCTACAGTGACAAAGGCTGGACTCTACTGGAGTGGTTTGGATATCTTTACATCCCGGAGGCCTCAGGGTACTTCTATTATGTACATGATAGCTCAGGACTTCAATAGGAACTGTTCCAACAAATGAGGCAGAAGTGATATGGACTCTATTCTCTAGCCTCAGAAGCCATACGCACCACCACTTCCACCTCACTTCGTCACAAACCTGCCCAGATTGGGGAGTGCAGAGGCTAGACCCATTTCTTAATGAGAGGAGTATCAAAGAATTTGTGGCTCCAATTTAAAACTGCCAAAATATGTCTTCTTTTTATGTCATGCTATATTCTGCATTTTTGTCAATTACGCATCCATAAAGCTGAAAAAAAAATTCATTCTCTGACCTTAACCAGGTTAGAATTTATCTCATTATTGAATATTTTTATCACAATGTTTATTTTTCTATCTAGTTACTTTTCATATTCATCTTTATTTATGTCTTCTATTTATTTCTAAAGCTTTGATTCTGTTTTTAAGTCCTCACCTGAGGATATGTTTATTGATTATAAAAAGAGAAGAGAGAGAAACATTGACCTGATGCCTCCCATACGCACTGTGACTGGGGATCAATCCGTAATCTTCCAGCGAATGGGATGGTGCTCCAACCAACTGAGCCACCTGGCCAAGGCTTAAGCTTTGTTTTTTTATTTAGATGTTTTATCTCTTTATCTCTTTAAATGTATTTATTTTAAAGTAATTTTAATGTTTCTAGTCTATTTAGACTTCTATTTCAGTGGAAATGGATCATCTTCAGGAAATAGAAGATTTCTATAATATAATACATATATCCTTATATAAAACCTTCCACCTAACAAATAGAGAATTTCATAAGCTTCTCAAACACACATCAAACATTTATAAAAAGGTGACCACATATTAGGTTAGATATTTCAATGAATCACACTGATCAAAATTGAGCTGAATTAGAAATTCTCAGATGTTTGAAAACTTAAAAACACATTCCTAAATAACTCACAATTTAAATTTAAAATTACAACCATTTAGAAAAGAAGAACAAATATTACATAGAAAGACTTGGATAATGTGGGTAAGGTAATCATTAGAAGTAAATTTATGGCATTAAATGCATATATTAAAAATTATTTACAGTGAGACAAACATTCATCTCAAGGAACTAGGAAATGAATAGGGTCACCCCCATAATGTGAAATAAATCAACAAACTTAAATGCTGGTTCTTTAAATAGATAAATAAAATAAACTTCTACAAAGCCACATTGGAAAGAAAAGAGAAAGCATAAATAAACAATATAAAAAATTCAAAGAGTCATAATGGGACATATAGTAGAATATCATTAGTTATACTGTAAACTTTATAATATCGAGTCATTTTATGTCAGTAAATTGAAAGCTGAGGTGAAATAGATAATTTACCAGAAGAATATAAGTTTAAAAGTTACCACAAAAAGAAATGTACAGTCTGAATAAGTCAAACACCAATAAAATAGATTGGTAGTCAAAAGTCTCCCAGTAACCACCTTCCCGTCCTTTGTCAAAGAGCCCACGACTGACTGTTTCACAGGTGAGTTTTACTTCCTTTAACGGCATAGACGATCACACGGTGTACAAATTATCCCAGATACTAGAAGAGGAGGAAAGGACACCCAGCTTATTTTATGACGTCACTGTCATCTGGATACCAAAATAGGACAAAGAAAACTTAGATGAGCCCTGGCTGATGTGGCTCAGTGGATTGAGCACAGGCCTGTGAAGCAAAAACAAAGGGTCGCTGGTTCGATTCCCGGTCAGGGCACATGCCTGGGTTGCAGGCCAGGTCCCCAGTAGGGAACACGTGAGCGGCAACCACACACTGATATTTCTCTCCCTTTCTCCCTCCCTTCCTCTATCTCTCTGAAAATAAATAAATAAAATATTTTTTAAAAAATTTAGATGAATCCAATTTTTTAATGTTGATACAAAAATCCTAAATAGATTACAAAATCAAATCCAGCAGACTATACGATATAACACCTCAAGCCCAAATAAAGTTTACCTGATACACAAAGACTTATCTAAAATCTGTAGCCTAATCTGACCTATGTCATTGCTTTGCAAAAAAAATAAATAAATCAAATCTGCAACCTCACTGTCAGATTAAGAAAAAATCCATGTGCTGCTCATCTCAATGAATACAAATAAAATGAGCAGTTAAGAACCACAATTAAAAACAAAATCTTAAGGAAAAAGGACTCATGGACATGGACAACAGTGTGCTGATTGCTGGGGGGAGGCGGGTAAACGGACTAAATGGTAATGGAAAAAATACAATAAAGATTAAGGTTATAAAAATAAAATCTTTTAGCCCTGGCTGGTGTGGCTCAGTGGACCGAGCACCAGACTGCGAACCAAAGGGTCGTCAGTTCGATTCCCAGAAAGGACACGTGCCTGGGTTGTGGGCCAGGTTTCCCAGCAGGGGGCACTCAAGAAGCAACCACACATCAATGTTTCTCTCCCTCTCTTTCTCCCTCCCTTCCCCTCTCTAAAAATAAATAAAATCTTTTAAAATAAATAAATAAATAAATAAATAAATAAAATCTTTTAGCTAACAAAGAATATCAACTGGATGCAGGTACATACAGAGTCTATATCAAACAGTAATTATGCGACTGTAGAAGCATCACTAGTAGAGTCAGGAACGCCACAGGCCTGCCGTCAT